CTCACACTGTACAACTGAACAAACGGAAGGGTCCAACCTGGATTCTTCCTCTCTTTGAGATGGCTGGGAGGGGGATTAGACCCATCCTTTTTTTCTTCTGAACTTCTCCCTTCCACAGTTTCACTAACTGGTTTGGTCTGACTAGTGTGTACTGAAAATGGCAATCCCACCAACACAAATCCCGCTCCTCTGGGACAGCACTGACCTTCCTTCACTGCTGTGGTAAGGGGGCTGTTCTAGGAGACAGATTCCTTTTCGCACCACATGTGCCTCCTTCATGCTAAATCCTAAACTAAAACTCTATTAGGACAGCTTTTACAAAATTAAATCTATGTTGAGACAAATATCCTACCCTTCCCTCTGGGAGGGCAGATTGTGCTAGACAGTCCCTGGTGGACAGGAACATTTCAAGGAGCTTCTCTGTCCTTAGTGATGGCCATGGTTCTGGGCTCCAGCATCAGCTTACAAGTTACAGCATCACTGTCCCTAGAAGGCCCGGAATCCTAGCCCTCCAGTGGGACTTAGCAATGGTTCCCTCCTCCTCTAAAGGGTGCGGATTCAGAACCAAAGCCCTAGACTTGGCATCAGTAAGATTCTCACTGTTTTCTGGTGGGGGGAGGGAGGCAGAATTAATTTTTATGCCTGGTTCTTTGGGGGGAAAGGGCTGCTATGTGAAAGCTGCTCCGAGATTCTGGGTGTTAGAAATGGTCTTGACTGAGAGATCAGAGGGCAGAATGCAGGCGAGATGATCAAAGGTGTTAAACAAATGCAGTGAATCCTGGGGCTCTCCAATATTCGCAGAAATAAAGCTGGTCTACAGGCAGGTATAGTGACGTGTAACTAGTCTTCTGTGTTCAGTCCACTGTAGGATGGATTGAAGTAATTAACTTGTTTCAGTACTGATGGTACTGAGGAAAATTAATTTCCACCTACTAGTGGATCCCATAATTGCTCCATGGCTACCTTGTAGCATAGATACTGTCCAATAGTGGGAAATGTATTAAACTTTATAGATATTAACAACAAGCCATTTTTGGGTTGGCATAATTTAAGAACTGAGGATTCCCAGTGTATTACACCGTCTGACATCACACATGCTCTATAACTATCAGCCTTTCAGCAGAACTTTTCCAGAGATTGAGGACAGCCTCCTGTAAGAGAGTCCAAGCAACATATGCTCATGTATCAATCAGTACACATCACAGCAGGCAAAGTGTGTGGTACCACCACCAGTAATAAAACCAAAGTGGTGCTCACACAATAGCCAAGGTAGGTCATTAAACAGACACATTGTCATGGACTCTGGGTAAGATTATAATTGCAACTGTAATTTTCATATGGCATATCTATCATGAGCATAAAGTGCAGCAAAATTAAAAAGACTCCCTTTACTATTCTTTTATTCTACGTTCCCAGCAAGTGCAAAAGGTTGGCTGATTTTAAAAACTGAATATTTTCATTTCAAGAGGTTTTACTTGAGGAACCTTTACAAAAACTAGCATTCCAAAGATCGCTAAAAAACATTTTCCCCCATCTGGTTTCTAAATATACACCTGGAAAATTACTAAATAGCACCCTTTTTGTTAGCGTGATTGCTATCAAAGGCTAACCTACAAAATATAAAATCTGAACACACAAAAATGCATCAAAATTAAAGTAAGTGAAATATTTAAAATCGGGGAATGCATTAAAAGTCACCAGAACAATGAAAAAAACACCACAATCTTATTTTAAAATATGTCATTTCCAGGTAGGCAATTATTTACCTCCTTAGTGGTGGGCCATAGATAGCCAATTAATGCAACTTAATTCTGTAGTTGTTTCTGTTTAAAGAGTGTTTGGAATGATTTTTTCTGTTGTTTATGATCAAACAAATGAGCCCTGCTAATCTTATATTTTATCTCCCTAACATATGGAAAAGCTATTTATCCTAGCCAATCACAATAAAGTGAAGAAAACCCCATTTTATGGAAAGGTATATATCACAAGTTTGTTCATCATTAAAGATATGATTACCAGTGAAAACCCTCTGAAAGTGGCACATTTATGATTCCAGGAACAGATGGGGACATACATTTTCCTTGCAAATACTTTTGAAATTGCTCTACTGGTAGCAGTATAAAAATGATATACAGATGCCAGTGCCAACGAAGCCCGGACAAGAGGTCCAGATTTACACAGTAAAAGCTTCACATGCGCTCTGTCAGCTTTGATTGATCTGTGCTATACCTCAGAAACTTGTTGACTGGTAAAGGAAACTGTGCAAATAATTCACTGCAACAAGCCAGATAATTCACACAGCCAATCGGTCTGCTTCACTTTTCCTCACCAAGACGCATCATTTTCCAGCATGAGCAGTATTCAGTGGCAGGAAGGGGGAGGCAAAAGGAAAGAAAGAAAAAAGAAAGATAGGAGCAGCTCACACAAAAGAAAAGGCGAGACAAGAGAAGTTGTTTTGGGTAATGGGCCCAGCCAGCTACCTTTTCCACTTTGAGCCCTAGCAGAGCCATTCAGACTCAATTGTCATTATCATATTGATTAAGTTCATCAGAGTGCAATTTTAGGTTTAACGCCAACGGATTGGGAAAGGGAGCAAAGAATTATCTAAGAAAAGCACAACATTCTTACCGCAGGGACGTTTCCCTGTTCCAGTTCATTGATGGAGTTGATTAAGTTTAAATGAAGCAGACACTGGATAAAAGTGAGGGTATTGACCACTGGGCAAGGCGGGCTGCGCTTGAAAAGGCCTGATACATGCAGAAAAGCAAGATTTGCTAAATGCTCTAATCTTCAATCAAATCTAACATCAATACAGACAAAGTTTGGTAATGAGAGATTCAATGAAGCATGCGGGAGAAAGAATTAATCCTCTTGGTCTAAACTGGGTTCAACTTTGAAGCCTGCTCCGAAGGAAAGACAGTTATCTAAATGCTAAATAAGAAACTTATTGTACTTTTCATGGCATGCTAATCTTTTGTCTATTTCATCTCTATTATTTGTATGCTCATAGATTGCAGTTGTCATGGTGATTATATCAAACCACTCGGAGCGGATGGCGGCGAGGACTCTGCGCCTCCATGCAACCCTCAGCCACACACACCACAACACAAACCAAGGCATGGCCAGTAAGGGCCTTCTGTCCGGCCGGCCAGACCCCCAGTACAGCCCCGCGGGCGCAGGGCGGGACATTCTTCCCGCCACCAGCCGGAGAGCTGGCCCGGCCCCTTGGCCCTCCTCAGGGCCGCAGGGCAAGTTGCGGGCGGCCAGTAAGGGCCTTCTGTCCGGCCGGCCAGACCCCCAGTACAGCCCCGCGGGCGCAGGGCGGGACATTCTTCCCCCCCCCAGCCGGAGAGCTGGCCCGGCCCATTGGCTCTCCTCAGGGCAGCAGTGCAATTTGCGGGCGCACTGTGGCAGTCCATAGCGCCCCGCCGGCCCTCGGGGAGGGACTGGAGACCAGCAGAGCCAGCGCGCCCGCTCCCCTACGCGCGCAGCCCAGCCCAGCCCAGGCGAGGCGCTTTCCGGAGGCTTGTCTGGAGAAGCTTTTGATGTCACAAATCAAACACTCGCCAGGAGGTAGATAATGGGGAGTGTGATCTCCTCGATTGGTACATAACTCGCGCTCTGCCTTGAACTTTGGGAGGGAAGGAGGAAGGGAGGGAGACAAGCCAGAGGAGCGGGGTTTGCCAATTGCGGCTGGAAGTGGGGAAGTGCTGAGCGCCCGGGACGCAGGCTGCGGGCTCCCTAGGCCGGGCAGCCACGGACCAGGGGAATTAGGGCTCAGATCGGCGTGTGATCTCCTCGATTGGTACATAACTCGCGCTCTGCCTTGAACTTTGGGAGGGAAGGAGGAAGGGAGGGAGACAAGCCAGAGGAGCGGGGTTTGCCAATTGCGGCTGGAAGTGGGGAAGTGCTGAGCGCCCGGGACGCAGGCTGCGGGCTCCCTAGGCCGGGCAGCCACGGACCAGGGGAATTAGGGCTCAGATCGGCTAGTGCCTAGGGCGAGCAGGGAAGGGCTCGGGGCAGCAGGGCAGTGGGTTGGCAAACAGCGAGCTCGCTTCTTCCCTCTGATCGCTGGGCAGGAGCTCGGGTAGGGTTCCGGCCGTGACAGGCGGGGGGGCCCAGCGCATCGCCTGCCTCTGGCGGTCTTTATCCAGACCCCCGTCGGGGTGGGTCCTGATCCGCAGGCCCAGAGTGGCCACGGGCCGCATAAGTGAGACACAGCTAGATAAAACAGACAGGCTCCATGACACCTGAGATCGGCTAGGCAGGCAGACCAGACAAGAGCCAGGAAACCCAAATAGCCCAGACCTCACAGATGAACACACAGACAAGAGATGCGTGGAGTGGAGGGAAAACCGGCCCTTGCCCGGCGCACCCTGCTCCCTGTCTGCCCAAACTCCAGCTCCAGGGTCTAAAATCCCAGTTTCTCCCTAGGAATCGGAGGGAGAATTCGAGACCTCAGCGCAAATCGGAGACTGGGGGTAGAGCTACCAGTAGAAGGGCCTGGGGAGTCCAGGCGAAGAGGGGGAAACTTCCCTTTGGCGTGTTTCACTATTATAGAGTCATTTGCGCCCACAAAGGTTGTACCGAGCTTTTGTGTGTTTTACAAAAGTTGCCAAATTAAGGTCGGATTAGGCTCCCTCCAGGATTGGAGGGAGCTTTAGATGCTGGGAGCGGCAGATATAACCCGGCTGTGTTTATGAAAAGCTTAAAAAGTAATAAAGGGGGGGGGGGGGGAGATTCCGAAAGATGGTAACATGTATAACTTCTTATTAAAGGAGCAGCGAGCAGGGCTGTGAACTTGAATAACTGTTTGAACTTTAATTTGTTCATTAACAGGATTTGCCCCTGACTGTGAATGTTATTACTTCTCTAAAAGCGAAGTGCAAATGCAAAACCATTATGAAAGAGCCTAGCAAAAAGTTAAATGTCTAGTAATTACACTTGTCTTATTGGAAACTTAAAGTAATACCAAAGTGATGAAAAATGGGAGCCGGGGTGATATTCGCCTAATGTCTCAACTTTAAGCAATAGAAACTGGAAGCTTTAAGCCTCCATTTGAACTTCATCTCAATCGGATAGCAACACACTAAACTTGTGCGAATATAACAGAGACCTTCTGATCCAGGTGAACTCTAGGTATCTAACTATAGGTATATCTAAAACGGCTGTGTTTAAACAAGTAAAAAATCCTTAGAAAGCCTTGGGTTTTTGTTTTATTTTCCATTTCCTCCGTGGGGGAAGTCTGTTTTATTCCTCCGTTTTAAGTCTTGAGTGAAACATGGTGTCAGAAGTCTGATCTAATCTGCATGTTTGTATCCTAAACAGGGCACATTAGCTCCTCTCTCCCCCATCACACCGACAGTAGATAAAACTCTGGAGATCTGGAATAAAACAAACTACTGCTCCTCTCAGAAGGTATGTGACTTTGTACTGATGCTTTTGCCTGTTAGCTCCGCATTGACTGTCTTTTCATCTGTCAGTTATTTCTTTCCTGTTTTTGTCAACTGGTTTTTTTTAATAGATATTCACTTGTCATCTGCATCCTTCCTCAACAGGAACATGCAGCCAGGTCGCAATTAAATATACAGATACACGAGCTGTTAGCAAGATTTCACCCTCACATCCGAATCTGAAAACAGCAAAGTTGGGGGGATGGTTGCCCTGTCACTTATTCTTTACACTTAAAATGTCGTAAAACTCGCCGGCAGAGCGATGTGTTTGTTATTCAGACATTTTCTTTTGTTAGTGTCCCTCTCGCTACGAAAGTCTTTGAAGTATTGACTTAAACGGCTGCTTTTGGGTTTTTAACTCATAACTGGAGAGAGAGCGAGAACCCCCAAAGAGAGTGTCTACCAGCTGCTCTTACCCATTCGCTTCTTCACAATTTTCTCCTCGCCCCAAGCGCTACGAGAACTAGTGGAGTCAGACCGGTTTGATGCTCGGATCTGGCTACTCTCCCCCCCCCCCCCCCATGGTATGAGCGCTTGGCTATAAACGCGGCAGAAGGGGGGGGGGTCAGAGCAGAGAGTCTGAGAACAAGGAGGCTGATCGTACCCCTCTGCTGCCCTGCTGGGAGCGGGGTGGGCACAGCCCCACCCGCCCCCCGAAAACCCGACACTATCGCTCTAATCTCTCCTTGCCCGGACCCCGTCAGCCCCCGCTGCGGAGCTCGTTACCCAGCCGGGGGTCTCGGGGTTCCCCAAGGATCGCAGCCCCGCCCCGGAGGAGGGGAGGCAATTGCAGGGCAGGGCCCAGCCGCCGCAGCTGGCAGCACAGGCCCAGGAGGGAACAGGGACGGACTCTGGGCGTCGGGGCTGAGTCCTGCCGCAGCTCCGAGAGCCGCCCGGAGCTGGAGCCCGCAGCGCCGCCGCCGGCCCTAGAAGAAAGGGAAGCCCCGCCCGCCCCGAGGGAGGCTGCTCCCGGCCCGCTGCGGGCGCTGGGCGGGAGCGGAGGAGGAGCAGGCCGACCGGGCGGGGGATGTTTACACGGGAGAGCGGGAGCGGGGCGGCGAGCTGGGGTGAATAATTGATGTGGAGGGGCCCGCGCGCCTCCCGAGCTCCCTTTCGGTGGGGGGCTCGTGTTCTCACCATCAGCACGGCACATGCAGAAAGCGGATTTAATGGCGCGGCGGCCAATTACAGCAATTAGCTCCCGCCAGCCTCTCCCCCACGTCTCTGTGCAGCTGGCAGCGCTCAGGGGACCGCCCCTGCCGGAGCTCCCCGCCTGCAGACACCCCACGAGGAACCGAGGCGCTTGCAGGGCTTTTTTCTCCTCCCCCTCTCCCCGGGCTTGGGCTCCAGCGAGTGGCCCCTCGCCTACGTGCAAAAGGGAGCAGAGCGAAGCCACCTGCATCAGCAAAGGGGAGCCCCAGGCCCCAGCTTTTCATGCCCCTCCCTGCTCGTAACAGCGCGGAGCCCCCTAGGCCGCAAGCTAGTCTCGTCATCCTCTTTCTATTTCTGTACGTAAACAAAAAGCCTCCGGATCGTCCCAGGATGAGGCGTAAACCCGCGCGGCGTTTGCCAAAGTGAAGACGCTTTTGTGAGCTCCTGTAAACGCTCATTGAAAAGAGAAGGGCGGATGGGGAATGAGTGACAACAGGAGAACGAAGAGTCCCCTACAGGGCGCCCGGCAGGCAGCCAGTGCACAAGGCGTGGTGGGACTGAGGGATCACGGGCCTGGCGCTGGTGCTCTGTGTAGGCTGAATGAGTCTCCCCCAAACCTCCAGAGGCCGCCCTGTCTACCAGTTCAAGCCTGCTCGGGCCTTTTCCTGAGGGGACAGTGGTGCCAGGCCCAGCGACTGAAAGGGTCCCCAGGCTGTTGGCCACCACCGCTGCAGCGGCCGGACCGCCAGGCCCTTTAACTCGCCATTGAAACACGGCGTACTTCAGGCAGCGCTAAAGGATGGGGGGCATTGAGAGCTGCCTGGGGGCCGCTCAGGAGTGCTGCAGTAGCCTGCCCCTTCTGCCCATAGACTCGCCCTTTCTGAGAGCATGAAGCCATCCCCCACCTTGCCCAGGAAGCCTTGGAGCATGTTGATGCCAGTGGGTGTGTGTATATCCCTGCCAAAATAAACATTTCATTTCATGCACCTGACAAAGTGGGCTCCAGCTCACTAAAGTCTATGCCCAAATAGGTTTATTCGGGTATGTCTACACTGCAACACTATTTTGGGATATTGGAGAATCCCGAAATAGCTATCCCTCGTCTTCACAGCATGCCCATTATTTCAGGTGCACTGTTCCGATGTCCCTGTAAACTTCATTGTACCAGGAGTAAGGGACATTTCAGAATATCGCTTTGTTTCAAAATTTGGTGCTGTGTGGACTGCGACAAATGACAAAATAAGCAATTTCAAAATAGCATCGAAATAAGATACACAATTTGTGTAGCTCAAATCGCGTATCTTATTTCAAGTTACGGTGCAGTATAGACGCATCCCTAGGCTTTGTCTACACTAGCGCAATCTTCTGCAAAAGTGGCCACTCTTGCACAAAAACTTGCTGCCTGTCTACACTGGCCGTGTATTCTTGCGCAAGTAAACTGACGTTCTAATGTATAAAATCAGGGCTTCTTGCGCCAGAACTCTGACACTCCCACTCAGGAATAAGCCCTCTTGCGCAAGAGCTGTTCCAGAAGAGGCCAGTGTAGACAGGCAACATGAATTTCTTGCGCAAGAAAGCCCTATGGTCAAAATGGCCATCAGAGCTTTCTTGCGCAAGAAAGCGTCTACACTGGCATGGATGCTCTTGCACAAAAGCACATCTCTTGTGCAAAAGCACATGCCAGTGTAGATGCTCTCTTCTGGAAGAGTTTTTGCACAAGAACTCTTCCGCAAAAGAGTTTTTGTGTGAGTACGCGCCAGTGTAGATGTCTATTGGCAAGATTTTGTGCAAATACTCTAAAGCAAGAGTTTTTGCGTTAGAGTATTTGAGTAAGAGAGCGTCTACACTGGCATGCGCCTATGTGCAAAAGATGTGCTTTTGCGCAAGAGCATCCATGCCAGTGTAGACGCTCTCTTGCGCAAGAAAGCTCTGATGGCCATTTTAAACATCGGGCTTTCTTGCGCAAGAAACTGATGTTGCCTGTCTACACTGGCATCTTGCACAAGAACAGTTGCGCAAGAGGGCTTATCCCTGAGTGGGAGCGTCAGAGTATGTGCGCAAGAAGCACTGATTTTATACATTAAAATGTCAGTGTTCTTGCACAAGTACTCATGGCCAGTGTAGACAGGTGGCAAGATTTTGCGCAAAAGCAACTGCTATTGCGCAAAATCTTGCCAATGGAGATGTAGCACTAGTGTTTCAGGCACCACAGGCTCACCTGGCTATCCCTCTGAAACTTGTCTTAATGAGCGTGGAGATGAATCACACTACACAGCAGTGTTATTTCCAAATAACTGGTATTATTCCAAAATAAAGAGTGTGTCTATGCTCGAAGCCATTTTTTCAAAATAATGGTGAGCTGGAGGACTTCTTACTTCAACTCCTGTAACCCTCATTTCATGAGAAGTAAGGGAAGTCAAAGGAAGAGTGTTCTTCCTTCCACTTCCTACTCTCTAGACCCGTGGTCCCCAACACGGTGCCCGCGGGTGCCATGGCGCCTGTGGGGGCATTTCCATGCGCCCGCCAGGTGCTCGGGGCTGGCCTGGCACCGGGCGCATGGCAGGGGGAGCGCCGGCCCCGGGCGCGCGGTGCTTGGCGGGGCCGCCCCCGGGCATGCGGCTATGGGGGGTCCGCCCC